GAATCAGAACAAGACAGAAGACATTGTGACAGAGCAGAAGGACAGAAAGAAAGAGATTTAAAAAGGTTTTGCCACTAACATTTATTAGCATAAGTAAGTAGCTAATTATTAACATACAAAGGGAGCACATGGATCAGACATTAAGCTGTCCATTGGTAGCACTTTGAAGATACAGGAAGACGACCATGAGATACAACACATAGATGGCCCCTGGAAGCTGGAAGGATCAGAGTCTGCAGAAGAAACCAGCCCTGTGGACACCTTGACTTCAGTCCTGCGGAACAAATTTCAGTCCTTCACAGTACAGAACTGTAAGAGAATAACTTTGTATTATTTTAAGCCACTAAATTTGTGATGATTTGTTATAACAGCAATAGAAATCTAATGCACTATCTCCACTTTCAATCAGATTGCTCCCTCTTTTTTTCTGGAAATTCTAGGTCACCATCATTTCTTAGGCACTACCTAGTTCTTTATTCAAATTATAACTCACAATGCTAGTAACAACTACAAAAAGGAGATTCTATTGTTGTACCTTAAGAGGAGGAATAAAAGGAGAAATAAAGTTTAAATTAATTTAAAAAAATAACCTCAAATTACACAGACAGAAGGTGTTGGAACTGAAAACAACTCTTAGATCAGACTAATTCTTCATAGCTCATGTTCTTAATCACCCTGTGATTAACTCCATCTCTTTTATCCTTTTCTTCATTCACCAAGTTAACAAAGCCTACGTTAAGTTTTTAGTACTTGTATTTTAAAATTTTATCCTGAATACACGCAAGAAATGTTCTGGAACAAAGACAGATTTCTTATTGATTACTTCACAGTGAATGCGTGTCACTTCCTGCTTGCTCAGGCCTTGCCCCTGCACTGACGCAATAAGAGACATGTCTACTGTCCTGCTCCAGTAGCCAGACAGCCCATAGACTGGGGCAGGGTGAGGAGCCTCAATTTTCTCTGCTTATAAAGGGGAAGGAAGGAGAACTTTGTCCCATATTTCCCTCTAGGAAGGGTCTTCTTGGAAACATACAGGACTGCATTCTAACGCCAACCCTTTGGTGTGTAAATTAATCTCTCCAAGAGCCAGATAGCTCCCAGTATCCACTTTTATTGCCTAAGGATATTTCTAAATTCTGTGGGTTTATCTTTTTTAACCTGTAAATACTTTGAGAGATAGCATTTGTCAACAGAAGGCTATGGTCCTTGTGCCAATTAAACACGAGCAGGAATCCCCACTTTGGGGTGTGATAAAGAGGACACTTTATTTGGTGTAAACATCTCAGTTGTGATACAGCAGGTCTGTGAGAATGGCTCAGCACTGGAATAGCTCAAACGTGGTACAGCTCAATTATGAAGCAGCACAGCATGATTGTGAGGAGGCCCTAGAGCTGAGACGGCCCTGGGTCTGAGGGCCCCTTCAGTTATAGAGCTCTTCTCTGCTCCTCCTCCTCCAGTTCCTTGCCAGAATGCTCTTCTCCAGCAAGGGAAAAGTGATCTTCAGTCTTCAGTGGAAAAGAAATGTGTGCTTCTGGAGCTAGAAGGGAGCTAACTAATATAGACAGAAGTCTTCACCCCTTGTCTTTGATTGCCCTGTCTTCATGCAAATGAAAACTCCAAATCCTCAGAATTTGGTCCAAAAATCACTGTCTTAATTGATCATAATGGAGCTGCTGTGATTGGTCAGTAAAAATGCTGATGGTGCTATACTTGCACAGCTCTGATTGAACAAGGAAGGTCTCAGTCATATTGGTTGAAATACATCTAGGCACACCTTTATTATGGCTGGCTCAGATGGAAGAAACACAGTATAGGCAGTACAGGGCTCTCCCTAAAGTGGGGTTTGTGTGAGAGGCCCCTTTTTAGAAATGGCTGCTAAGCTCTGCTTCTAAATTTGTATCTAGTTGGCCACTAGAAGCCCTTCTTAGTAGGAATCTCCTTTCCCAGGGTTCATGTATTCCAGTCTTCCCAGCACCCTGGGGCTTAACCTGAGATGGAGTCCTGTAGTAGGCAGTTGGGTTGAATAGGAACCATAGGCCAGGTCCTGCGGGTCACCATGGAGCAATGGAGCAAAGCAATGGGGAAAACAATGGGGCAAAACTGGGGTGGGTCTTTGCTCCCCCAGGGTGACCTTTCTTCCCATAGCATATTGTCGATCATGCAATTTAGACCCTCTCCTGACCTGTCCTCCCCTGACATGTTAGTAGACCCCCTTGAAGGAGGAACAGGGGAGCTGGGAAAGAGCCTCATATGATTCCCATGCAAGCCCTTGCATTACTACTCCTTTAAACATTAAGTCCCTAGGCCAATGAGGTTCTGGCCCACATGAAATAGTCTTAAGATTATTTGAGTCTGATTACCACAGAGACAGAGTTTTGGCCAAACTAGAGATGACATCTAGGTCTCACTTGTGTTTCAGCTCCAGGCCCAGAAAAGCAACAAGGCCAGGTGAGGATAGGCCATGGCTGACCTCAGGACCAGCTGTAGTGTCTAATGTCAACCTGCTGTGACACTGACCAATCAGTGGAGACCATGACCCTGAGGAGACACACCTGGAATGCTGATGAATATTCTATTGAGATCCTCCTCTGACACCTCCCTTAAAATCCCCACCTTTAAAACTCTTAAGATAAAGGACCCAGCACTCTCTCTCTCTCTCAAGCATGCCCTTACCTTTCCCTACCCCCCTCTTTCCCCAGTGTGAGCTTGCTCTCTCTCTCTCTGAAGCACACCTATACTTTTCCCTTTCTCCTTCCCCCAGGTGTGTTTTCTTTGCCTTTCTTTCTCTTAAGCTCTAAAGGGCCTTTTTTAAGAGCTTCTGTAAATTGTTTCCTGAGTCAATGCAGCCTAACTGGCTCACTTATGCATGGCTCACTTTTTCTACCTCTGTGACTTTCTATATAAACTTTTGCATATATTTGAGTCTTGGCTCTGAATTCTTTCTTAGCCAAAACTCAAGGACTAAGATCTAACTTCTGGTGCTGTTTCGCTGTTAACAGTTCTGGAGGTGACCATCAGGTCCTTGTGGGAGGGATTAGAGAAGTTTTATTATGTGTCAGGATCAGAGCAATTAACTGGACAAATGGCTATAGATTTAATACTCACAGTATATGAAGAAGCTGGAACTTTTAACAAGAACACTGAGAAATTCCAGAAAGTCTTATTTCCCACAGCCTAAAACATAAGCCTGTGACTCCGGGTTAAGGATAGAATCAGTGCTGGCATTTATGGAACTTTCAGAATGGTTTGCAGTTGTTCATCTCCATCCAGTTTAAACACTGCTTTTCCATCTTATCTCATTGATCCCAAGAAAATACCACTAAGTTAATGAAGAAACTAGTATACTTAATTTTCAGGGGAAGACATGGTGGCTTCAGAGTAGCTGTACCCAGATACTCAACACAAGTCTGGTCACGCACCATTGTCTTCCTTCGCCGAAGGCTGTCAAAGAGCCCAGATCAGGGCCTGAATCAGAGACAAGCACATACCCTAGCTGCCTTTCCCAACTGTGCACAAACTGTTCTCCTTGTCAGATTTCAGTGTGTTCTTTGCAAGGTGACTCAGATCTTTCCTTTTTCCTCTCATTAGGTGACTGTGAAAGCTGGATGTGTTCCATTCATCCTGGGGCAATGTAAATTCAAATTTGTGGGTTTAGAGACATTTACACCATCACTATACCTGTGAAGCATTGGAACAGTGTCACGCTTGTGACTGTTATCTCTCCAGAAAACTTAGAAAAAGTTAGAGAAGGCCCCTCTCCATTAGACCTTTTACCTAGAGGAAGCACTCCCCCACTTGCTTTATCTGCTTTTTTCCCCCATCACACAAATTATCTGAATTCTGAGGAAGAATGTTAGCAGCAGAAAAAATGGCACCAGTTGTTAACCTCAGTTCAGCAACCTCAGTTGTTAAATTCTGGCTAAGAAAATAATTCAGAGCCAACACTTAACATCATAAGAGAAAGTTTATTTAGAAAGTAACAGAGGTAGCAGAAGTGAGTCATAGAGGAAATGGGCTCAGGAAACAAGTTTCATCAAAATAAGAGCCACTGGAGCTCTGGAGAAAGAGAGAGACAGGGATAGAGATGGGGATGGAGACAAAGAGAAAGAGGAAGCACCTGCCTTGAGAGAGGAAAGAGGAAGGAGAGGTCCTGGCGTCCTGGTGGAGGGGGCGCCCAGGGGAAAGAAATGGGTGGGGAAAGGCATGGGTATGCTCCACAGAGACAGAGAGAGTGGCACTGGGTCTACCATCCTGAGGGCTTTTATCTGAGGTCTCACAGGAGGCTCTCAATAGAATATTCATCAGCTTTCCCAGTGTGCCTCCTCAGGGTCATAGTCTGCACTGATTGGTCAGTACCAGAGCAGGGAAGCATTAGTTATTCACCTGGTTTTACTGCTTTTCGGGACCTGGGGCTGTAACACAGCTGAGGCCTAAATATCTATCATCTGCAAGGCTTAAGAGAGTGGTCCTGCAAGGGCTTGTAGTAGTTTTTCTGTTGCTAGGCACCTGGGAGTCACTGGGGCTCTCCACCACGGTGACCCTCTGCACCTGGCCCATCTTTCATGCTCTGCTTATGCCATTCTAACTGCCTTCTACAAGTCCAATGTACAACTTAACTTCCAGCTTCAGTGAAGAGGGTTTGTTTGAAAAACTACTTAACAAAAGTTTTCAATAAGAGCTCTTTTAAAAATGTGTATTAACATTTTAAAATTTTTACACAGCTAGGATTAAGTAACAGATTGGTTATACTAAAATAAAATGAGGTTTTCTTATGTAAAACAGGGATTCTTAAGATGATGGCCTACAAGAACTTTGAAAATGCATCAAATATGTTTTCATGAATAGGAGTAAAACTAAGAAAAGTGCCAACCAATGGCAGTCATTCAGTGCATGTGAGCTATGATCTATCATAAATTTACAACACTTCAGTATTCAGGAGGAACAAGGGCTCAAGAAGTGAAAACAAACCACAGCAGGACATTTTTGTTAAAAGCTTTATTTGCATGTTATTTGTAAAAATACATCTATATGCATTTAACTTCTCTATTCCCAAACATAGGGAAACAATGCATAATTGACACTAAATCAGGCATTATGCCTTACTAGGAAGACACAAAATGTCTAAGGGATATTTAGAACATCAGTTCTCTTCAACCTCAGAAATGTTGATCACATACTGTGAAACTGTTTCAATAAATAACAATGGCCATTCTTCTCAAAATAGATACAAAAATAGATGTACTCATGACCTTTCCCTGCCTAAACACTGACCTATTGGCTAGAATCCCCCCTTATTTATCCCCAGCCTTTACCACAGTAGATGGTAAAGCATGGCCTCCCACCCCACTCCCAACCAAAAATATAAGTTGAATGAAGAACATTTAAAATGCATCATCCTCAATTACATAACAGGGCTGAACTAACTCTGATTTAACATAAAAATAACCATTAAAAAATAACAGAACAACACATTACCAAGCCCTTCCATATCTTTAAATATTAGGTAGAACATTAACTGGTATACAAGCTTTGAAAAATAAATAAATAAATAAACACACGTGCAGGTAAACAAACAGAAGAGCTCTCCCAGGAGATCCTCAAACACATTAAACACAGTCCAGGCGGCACCAGGGACTCTGTTTCTCTTCTTTCCCTCCAATCCCACCAAGGAGGCAACAGTAGCCGATAAGCTTCCTTCTTTTCTCCAGGTCAGTTGGTGCTGCCCCTGTGATGAGAAAATTGGTGCTTCTTAGGACTCAGAAACTTGACTGGGTAGCCCTGTACCAAGTGGCTACTACTGATACCCTTGCTGCCCTGTGTGGCAGAAAATGCCTGGCCACTGGGCGCTGTTTCCTTAGGAATAAGGAGCCTGTGGTCACAATTGCATTATTAGCTTCAAAACACCAGAAACCGGTGTTGCACTAAAAAAGTACACACATGACATCACTTAAGTGCCATAGCAAACCCCAGGAAGTAGCTGTTATTATTTTTCCCATATGATTGAAACTTAGAGACTAAGGACTTTCTCCGGGGTTACAGGAACAATAAGAGGTGGCACCCAGATGTACATGTGGAGGAGGGGATCAGTGAAAAGACCCTTTTCCTCACCGCTAAGAATTAGAGCCCTACGTTGCCCAAAATCCGGGGTACTACTTATCAGATCTCAAGCCTCCAAGGTAAAGTGTTTGTTCTTTAATGAGCAGGAAGGATTTTAGATCATTGGCCGCTTAATCTTTGAGGAAGACACATTGGACAACACTCACTTGAATGGGGAAAGAGGGGGGATTGGTGGTAAACCGTACTGAAAATATCCTTCAGGCACCAGATTACATTAATAATTTTAAGGACAAATTTAATTGTAAGATGACTTTTCATTCCTTCAGCTAAACTCTGAATTTCCCTGATACAATTTTCAGGAGGCAGATGCCAGTATCTGTCACCAATGACTTTATAGTCACATAACTCACTTGTTTAGCATCTTTTCAATCATTTTCTTAACCACAGGGGCTTCAGGGTTGAGACAAGCTTCCTCTCCATTCTTGAGTGTGACTCTGCAGAGAGAAGGGAGAATGCACGTGAGACAAGTGGGCAGGATGAGAGTCAGGGTGGAAGCATCTGAACCGTGAAGGAAACACTTACACGACTTCGGTTTGGTCGCAGGAGGCTCCTGGGACTGTCACCTTCACACTCTGGATGAGCTTGGGGTGAATTCTCTGCACGGTCTGCAAGCACTGGCAGCGAAGTTCATTGGCCACGGGAGCCCCTGTGGGGACAACAGACTCGGTGAAGGGAGCTGTCCCCACGGGAGCCCACCCGTCGTCCCTGGTTCCCCCTTTGGGATCCCAGGGCTCTGAGTCTCACCTGCAGCGTGCCGGCAGGAGGTGACCAGGAGCAGGAGCAGGAGTGCGGCCCGGAGGAGTCCGGGGACGCGGATGACAGCGGAGGTCGGGGGTGCGGGCCATGGTGCTGAGCTCGGTGGGTCTGGGCGGTGGTGCCTGGAGCGCGTGAGCTGGTGGGAGAGCTGGCTGAGAGCGATCTGTGGCTCCCGGAGACGGACGAACCCCTTTTATCCATGGCTGGGGAGGAAATTTCGCAGCCCCGTGGCCAGGGAAATTCCCGCACCTGTGGGTCGTTCCGGGGTTAGGAATGACGGCACTGGCAGGCGCAACAGGAGTGCCAGGGAGGATGCAGGGTGGGGTGGGGAGTGGTGTGGCGGGGAGTGGCGTGGCGGGGGCGGGGTGAGGGATTTGGGGAGGTATCCTCTCGTGTCCTCCACCTGGCCTCCAGCTTAACGCGGCGGACTCTGGGATGATCTCTTTCCGCCAAATCCCCAAGGATGGAGGGAGGGGGCGAGTAGCTTCATAAGAAGGGTGTCACTTATTAGCCAAGACAAGTACTACGACGAAGGTTGGAGGATTGGGGGAATTGTGGTGTGTATGCGCGCCCCTGTGGGGAATTATGGAGACGATTGTTTTACCATTTATTAAGTACGCAGAAATGTCTCTGGCCTGGTGAGTTACCTCTGCATACATACACCCTTAAATACACCTGCCATCTCCGATTTCACACAAAATGTTCTCCTTGTAAATCACACTCTGTGTCCTATCAGGGGAGAGGGGATGAGGAGTGTCAAAAGTTTAATTCAGGGTCTAATCAAGGACACAGTGTCCTAATCCTGTGCAGCTTCCTTCCTCTGTGAAATTCTGGAACTTCCCGAGCTCTAGTGGTCCATGAGCGCTACCTCCTGGGTGCAGAGGGCCCTGATGCAAACAGGAAGTAGGGGCTGGTGGTCACTTTGGCGCTGTTGGGGGGAAGGAAGGCTGCACTGGGCTCAAGGGGTCCACAGGCTGTAGTTTGTCCTGACCCCGCCCCCTTGTCCCCCACAAAAAATGTCATAGGAATGAGGAGATGCTGTCTATGTGAGTAGCACCCTTTGCTCTCTAAGCAACAAAAACGTGTTCTGGAGAAGTGGCTTAAATGACAAATTACTTATTTAATCTTCCTATCTCCCTCCCTCCCTCCCTCCCTCCCTCCCTCCCTCCCTCCCTCCCTCCCTCCCTTCCTTCCTTCCTTCCTTCCTTCCTTCCTTTCTTCCTTTCTTCCTTCCTTCCTTCCTATCCTTTCCTTCTTTTCTTTCTTTCTTAGTAGGGTGACCCTACTCCAAAGCTCCAGGGGTGGGCTGGTGACCCCAAGTAGTGTTACTCAGTCCTTGTAATTCTGGTCCCATGCGCAGGCTCTCTGACCGATCCTGAGGTGGGCAAGTGACCTCAGTGTGATCAAGTAAGAAAAAAATTTCCTCAGAGTCCTTTGTTTCAGGAAATGGTGGGAAAAAAGTCTTGCTTCCCGTAGGGCCATATCTGATAAGACAGAAACTTGGACCTTTGTCAATGTTTGTCTAAAATGAAGCCAGAATGGAGAAAAGGATGCATATCTGGACTGAAGCTTATTATTGAAAAGCATTTTTGAACTGTAGCATTCAAATTAATTTCATCTACTTGCCACTCTTCCTGACTCATAGGGCAAATGATTCCTTTTTTTCAGTAAGCCAATTTGAGTTGCATCTCTGCAGTTTACTCCCCATACTGCTAGAGTTATCTTTCGAACCAGAAGAATTTCAGCTCTGATTCCTGTCCTTGCCCATTTGTTTCAGCATTTCCCCTGATCATTTTCTCAGCATTTATAAGATGGCAGTGAAGTTTTGTGGAGGTGGGGGGTGTAAAGTCGGACTCGGCTACCCTCTACTTCTCAATGCCTCAAGGGACATGAGGCCCAAATAGAAGATTTTACAAAACCTGGCAATTAGGGTGGTAAATCATTCCCGAGGTATTTGGAGTGAGTCAGGGAATACACCTAAATCAACTTTTTCAGGTGGGTCTATGAGAGATGTCAGAGAAGTTTTCCTGAAGCAGGTGATCACTCCTGTGAATTTTAAGGATGAGAAGTGTTGGGGTAAAGAGGGAATGCTGAGGGGAGGAAAACACTCTAGGAGAGGGCCAAATGAGTAAGGACATGGCAGTTGGAAAGAGCAGGGTCAGTACTTGGAGCAGCAAGCCGCCCATGCAGCTAAAGCTCACTCTGTGAGCAGGGAGAAGGCACATACTGAGGCAGAAGGAGGCGCCAGGCCTCAGACACTGGAGACCAACTGCCTATATGATCCTGCTCATTGATTGGGACCAGTAGATGTTATGTCCTCTGAAAAGCCTCCATAGGCATCTGCAGGTGTTTCCATGACGTTCTTGCAGAGACCACACTATGACCTTCACTGGCTACCCACCATGGGGGTGGAAGTGGTAACCTAAGGTCCAGGGTCTGTGCAGAAAATGGGGGAATGGTAAATATGAAGTTCAAAAGATGATTTATTAGGCATGTACAACCTACAAAGGACAGCAGTCAGTTTTGCAAAGATGTATAGGGAATAAAACTGAAATTCCAAATGTGAAGTGTTTTAAATACCTGACACACATACATTCTTCTGCAACACAGCTGGTCTTTCCTTCTGCTCCTACAGCGAAGCTATCCTGATGATTCCAACCATCTTTAATTGCTCCATTCACTTCAATGAACTCTGAGCACCCTCCAATCTATTAGATTTGGGCATTATTTCAAGGTTTTGCAAATAATAGATTTCAATGTAAACTTTGTATTTTCATTTTCTTAAGGTTATTTGTTAAACTTTGGTGGAGGTAGTAATGAGTAATTATATGACATATAATATAAAGCAAAGAAGAAAGGAATGCCAAAATTACAAAAGGACGTCAAGAAATAAATGTAGAAAATGAGGAAGTGTCTTCATTAAAATATTCTTTATCACACTTGGTTATAGCAGGCATGAAAAGAGTGTGATGATTCTGTATTGATGTTTCCTGTATTATGAAAGTAACATTTGGGAAGTTGAGAGATGAGTTATAAACCACAGCGAACATGTCACACAGTGAAATATGGAAACTTATTTCATCCTGGACGATTACAAATCATAAAAGAAAAAACTTGATCAAGGAATAGCCCCTGTAACATTTCCATATTTTGAAATTTGTAAATGCATTCTTTATGGCCATATATGTCTTTGTTATAAAAACGTTTCCTGCGTACTGGAAAAAGTAAATGGGAATTATGCAATTGTTGGGTGTACATTGCTCAGGCCAAGCTGGTTGGTAGTGTAGCTTAACTCCTCTACACTCTTCACTGCTTTGGCTAGTCAGTATTTAAAGAAGTTTACTAGAATCTTTTAGTTCCTCTCCATTTGCTTTATATATTTTGATCAATCTTATTAGGTTCATAAAATATTAGAATTGTTTCTTTCTTGTAAAATTTCCCCCTTTTTAATTTTTGAATTGGCCTTCTTTATCTCTAAGACTACATTTTCCTTCTATCCTAACATATTAATCAGGCCTTTATATATCAATTATTGACCAATATGTTAACATTTATATTAATGATAGATTAATAATTATTAGCAGGTAATTAATATACTAATATAGCCATGCCTGGTTTCTTTCACTTAGTTTCAGCATGAATAACACTCAATTCCTATAATTTCAAGTAATCTGAGTTTTACAGTGTGTCTTTTGAATGCAGTGTACATTTTTGTCTTATTTGTATAGTCAAACATTTTGAATTTTAATTGGAATGCTTGTTTCACTTAAATTGATTTCTTTTTTTCCTCTCTTCTTTTTATTGTTGCTCAAGTCCAGTTGTCTCCATTTTCCCCCCCACCACTCCCACCCAACCCAGGCATCCCCACCTCCAGCCCTCAAGTCTACCCCTCCTTTGGCTTTGTTTAGGCTATGAATCCTTCATATGTGTTCCTCTTAATTATGTGTTATTGTTTATGCTATTACAGTTGTCACAAAGTTTTCCTCTTTGTTCCACCCCCCCCCCCCGCACAGTCCTCCACCCCTACTCCCTCAAGCAATCCCCACACTGTTGTCCATGTCCATGGGTCCTGAATATACATTCTTTGGCTACTCTGTTCCCTGTGCCATACTTCACATCCCCATGACTGTTCTGTAATTACCTAGTGGTACTTCTTAATCCCTTTACCTTTCGAGCTCAGTCTACTATCTGCTATTCTATTAGTCCTGTCTGTATAAAACACAGTTTCATTTGAAATAATTTTGGATTCATGAAAAATATATATAGATATTACAGACAATTCCTATGGACCTTTTGCCCAGTATCTCCTACTGCTGATACCTTACATAATTATAATACATTAATCAAAACCAGGAGATTAACTGGGACATTATTATTGGAGTTCCTAAACTCTAGTCTCTTACTACGGTATCACCAATTTTTCACCGTTGTCCGTTTTCTATCCTGCATCAAGCCCAGCATTCCACCCCGGATCTAGTCATCATGTGGCCTTTGTCTTTTCAGAGCTCTGACAGACCCTCAGTATTGTCTTGTTTTTCCTGAAATAGACAGTTTCCAAGAATCTGTGTTGGGTATTTTATAAAATGTCCCTCAGTTTGGCTTTCTGGGGTGATTTCTCCTGATCCTCCTGGGGTTATGGGTTTGGGGAAGAATATCCTGGAGATGAAGTGCCCTCCTGTTCATGTGATCTTAGGGAGATTAGAATATTCACCCAGTCACAGGACACACCTGGTGATAATAATGTTGATCACATGGTCAAGCTGGCATTTGCCAAATTCTCCACTGTAACGTTATTGCTTTTTTCTTTTCCCTAAAAAAAAGAAGATGTTTACTTCTCTTCTATGGAAGTAAATCACAGAGCCTGGCCCACACCCACAAGGGGAGGTAATTAAGCTCCTCTTTCAGGACAGACACTCTGCTCACCTCACTTATATGGCTTCTTCTGTAGGAAAGATTTGTCCCCTCTGTGCTGTACATCTGTTGTTCTCCTCCTTTATTTCTTCTTTTCTGTCAGCTTTTGTGTTATTCACATATATCCTTGTGCTGAACTCTAACGCCTTTTCAGAATTTTAAGTCCAAAATTTTGCATTTCCTCCCTAGAGTTTACCCTTAAAATGATGATGTATACACTTGCCACATTACATTTTCTTAAGCTTAATACTTTTCTGTAACAATGGAACAAATATGTTATAAATGCATGTCTCCCTAACTGTCCTTTCTGCTACATTTGTCACACATTTTACTGTACAGTCTGTATTTCTCTCTGTTTGAGTGGTTAGGAGGAATCCACTTTTGTACCTTTTGCAATCAGCATCATTAAAAAGAATAAAAAAATAAATGTGATTGTTTGAAAAACCACTTACGAAAAGCATTTACTAGGAGCTTTTGTTAAAGTATTTGCAAACATTCGAAAGTTTACAGAGAACTACTTCTTTGAATAATGAATTGGCCAGTGTGAAAAACAGCGCTATTTTATACAAAACTAGTCTTCCAACGTGGGTGGGAAGGGTAGTGTGTCAAGCAGTCCTCCATCAGTAAGATAAATAGAAGGAGAGGAATAGGCTTCAAGATATGCAGGACCTATGCAGTGGAATCCAAAACTACCCTGGAATTTATTTATGAAAAGTTGTGTATTTATTCTTACATGTTTAAACTTCAGTCATTTCAAAGTACTCTCAATTTGATGCAGTAAACCTATTGACAGGGATTGGCCAGCCCCCAGATGGGCGACCTGACTGGTACTGGTTGGCAGCCTGTTATGAACCAGGCCTCCCAGCAGTGAGCCAAGGAGGAAATCTTCCATTGCATTACCACCTGGGCTCTGCTGCCTGTCTCCTCCCACACCCACAGCCAACTGTGGAACAATTCTCTGCTGGGAAACTGGTACCTGGTGCCCCAAACTTGGGGGATCACTGCTGAACAAGATCATTTTTCACTGCTCAAAACAGTTTTTGAACTTGTCTATTTCAAAAAGACTTTAAGTGCTTCTGCTGATTTTATTTCACCTCTTCCACATGGCAAAACATTTTCCTTTGAGAACATACTTCATCTGGGAAAAGACTAAGAGTGGTTCCTGTGGGGTAAGATCAAGTGAATAGGGAAGGTGGGACACAGAGTGAACCCATTTCAGTCGGGTGTGTGCATATGTCAGCCATCATGAAATGGGCAAACAGGTTGAAAGAGTCTTCAAAGAATAATTCACTGAAGCTGAAGGCAGCTTCTCACAGCCAGGTGAGCTGGTTCACTGATACACATGGGGTCCTAACACTCACCTAGTGGGGGAGGCCTGAACTGCCAGGGGCCTGCTCTCCAGAGGATAATTCCAGGGGGTTTGGGGCCCTCCCTCCTAAAATCTACCTGTATAACATGCTAGGCATCCCGCAGAAAGGAGGGAGTGAGAAGAATAAAACAATCTAAACATGTTATATTTTGCAATACTTTTATTTTCATGTCATTTGTAAAAATGTAACAGTAGTTTTACCTTCTCTGTTCTAAGACAAAGAAATCATGGCAACATGAGCATTAAACAAGGCATTATGCCTTACAAGCAAGACATAAAATGTCCAAGGGAAGCTTCAACAGAAAAATGTTGACCACTTAATGTGAAATGGTTTCAATAAAGAATAAATAACATTCTTCTAAACAAGTACAAAAGTAGATGTGCACACACTTTCCCTGACCCTAGTAAGTGATTTCACTGTCCAATCGCTTAGACTCCCCTCCCCCATAGCTCCTCCTCCACCTCTATCACAGTGCCTGGCACTTAATGGTCTCCCAATAAACATTAGTTTAATGAGACACTTAAAATCCATCATCTTCAAATAAATAACAATCAGAACTGAGTTACGTGCAATTAAACACATTCACACCTTCCACACCTTTAAATACTAACATGTACAATATTAAAATACAGGCTTTCAAAAATAAATACACAGATAAATAAATAGACCTCAGATCAATAAAAAAGTCAAGCACAGTAATCCCTTTGTGTCTGTGGCAGGGAGTCATGGGAACCTTCTTCATTTTCAGTCCCCTCAGGGCAGGGACCTCCTTTCAGGAGCCAACACCAGGAGCTGCTTCTCTCTAGGTCAGTTGGTGCTGCCCCTAGGGGGAGAAAGGGTTACTGTCAGAGGTGTTAGGGAAAGCTGCTCTCCTCTGCCACTGGCCCCTGAAGCTGGAGGGCTTTCTCCCTGCATGCAGGCTGTGGCCCAACCCTGGGTCAGGAGAAGGCCCCACTGTACATTCTCCCCTGCACAGCAGAGAGCTGGCTGGCTCTTTCATGGAGAGAAGTGCCACTGTGGGCTCTCTTTTGCCACACTGGGCTGTAAAGTTACATGCATGACCTCACTTAATTCCCGTACAATACACGGGATAGGCAGTACGGTGTTTCTACTCGCTTTTGCTGAAACTTAAAGGGATTAAAAAAGAAAAACTTTCCTCCACTTGATCTGAGGGTGGTGTTGCTTTCTAGGGCCTGCCTTTCACCCTAAACTTCCCAGACCCACACTGGTCCAAACCAGGATTTCCACTCTTCAGGTCCAAAGCCAATGAGGGATTGAGGTAAACAGTGCTTGTTTCTTAATGAGTGGCAGGCAGTTTAGCACCACTGACTACATATAGTTTTTTTTCAGAAGACATATTTACCCACATGATGTGAATACGGATGGAGAGCCCTGGAAAGGTCCCCTGGCACCAGAGCACAGTATTGACCTTGGTGCCAGATCTAATTGTGGAATCATAATGATTTTCACACCTCAGCTAAACCCTGGGTTTCCCTGAATAATTTTCAGGAGGCAGATGCCAGTATCTGTCACCAATGACTTTATAGTCACATAACTCACTTGTTTAGCATCTTTTCAATCATTTTCTTAACCACAGGGGCTTCAGGGTTGAGACAAACTGCCTGTCCATTCTTGAGTGTGGCTCTGCAGAGAGAAGGGAGAATGCACGTGAGACAAGTGGGCAGGATGAGAGTCAGGGTGGAAGCATCTGAACCGTGAAGGAAACACTTACACGACTTCGGTTTGGTCGCAGGAGGCTCCTGGGACTGTCACCTTCACACTCTGGATGAGCTTGGGGTGAATTCCCTGCAAGGTCTTCAAGCACTGGCAGCGAAGTTCATTGGCCACGGGAGCCCCTGTGGGGACAACAGACTCGGTGAAGGGAGCTGTCCCCACGGGAGCCCACCCGTCGTCCCTGGTTCCCCCTTTGGGATCCCAGGGCTCTGAGTCTCACCTGCAGCGTGCCGGCAGGAGGTGACCAGGAGCAGGAGCAGGAGTGCGGCCCGGAGGAGTCCGGGGACGCGGATGACAGCGGAGGTCGGGGTGCGGGCCATGGTGCTGAGCTCGGTGGGTCTGGGCGGTGGTGCCTGGAGCGCGTGAGCTGGTGGGAGAGCTGGCTGAGAGCGATCTGTGGCTCCCGGAGACGGACGAACCCCTTTTATCCATGGCTGGGGAGGAAATTTCGCAGCCCTGGAGCCCGGGAAATTCCCGCACCTGAGGGTCGTTCTGGGGTTAGGAATGACGGGCGCTGTCGGGCTCACCAGTGGTGACAGGGAGGTTGGAGGGTGGGGCGCGGAGTGACGTGGAGGTGGAGGGGTGTGGTGTCCGCCCGTGTCACTGGGGCTGGCCTCCAGCGTGATGCGGCGGAGTCTGGGTTGATCTCTTTCCGCCCAAATCCCCAAGGGTCGGGGGGCGCCTAGCTTTAGGAAGGGTGTCACTTATTAGCCGAGACAGGCACTAAAACGGAAGTTATTTGTAAGGATTCGGGGAATTGTGTGTGTGTGTGTGTGTGTGTGTGTGTGTGTGTGTGTGTTTCCTCACGCGCGTGCGCGCGCACGTTTGGGGAACTATGGGGACGATTGTTTTACCATTTATTAAGTACGCAGAAATGTCTCTGGCTTGATGAGTTACCTCTGCATACATACACCCTTAAATACACCTGCCATCTCCGATTTCACACAAAATGTTCTCCTCCTTGTAAATCACACTCTGTGTCCTATCAGGGAAGAGGGGATGAGGAGTGTCAAAAGTTTAATTCAGGGTCTAATCAAGGACACAGTGTCCTAATCCTGTGCAGCTTCCTTCCTCTGTGAAATTCTGGAACTTCCCGAGCTCTAGTGGTCCATGAGCGCTACCTCCTGGGTGCAGAGGGCCCTGATGCAAACAGGAAGTAGGGACTGGTGGTCACTTTGGCGCTGTTGGGGGGAAGGAAGGCTGCACTGGGCTCAAGGGGTCCACAGGCTGTAGTTTGTCCTGACCCCGCCCCCTTGTCCCCCACAAAAAAAGTCATAGGAATGAGGAGATGCTGTCTATGTGAGTAGCACCCTTTGCTCTCTAAGCAACAAAAACGTGTCTGGTGAAGTGGCTTAAATGACTACTTATTTAATCTTTCTTTCTTTCTTTCTTTCTTTCTTTCTTTCTTTCTTTCTTTCTTTCTTTCTTTCTTTCTTTCTTTCTTTTTTTTTCGATTTTATATGTTTATTTATAGTAGGTGGAAAATAAGGAGAAAGAGAGGGAGAGAAACACGGATGTGAGTGAGAAACATGGATTGGTTGTCTTTCACAAGTGCTGGACCAGGCCCTAATCACAACCCAGGCATGTTCCTCTGAGGGGAGTCAAACAGGGTCTTTCACTTGGTAGAACAAGGCTCAACCAGTTGAATCAATTGAGCCACAGAGATCAGAGCTAATCCCACTTTTGTTATTTTATGTTCACAAATCTCATTTTGCTCCCATATTACACAGACTGTCCTCCCTTCAGGTCAGAAAATTATTGTGTCTTTAGGGAAATAATTGTAGTCCTATTTTGGTTTCAGCGAGTTCTGGTAAGACATTTCAGGCTGTTAATTGAAACCTCTGTCATGCAGTAGCTCCTTTTTTCACCCTCAATTTTAATGTCGTTGTTTGGATTGCTTGTAGGTTTCAGATGGTTTAGATGTGATTCTGGATGCAGATCAGTGAAAGTTGTGGGAATGTGACCTGGGAAGGTGTGCAGAGAGGAACAAGAGGAGGGAGGGGATGCTGTAGAGGTGCCAGGAGGTCCTAGAGTCAGGGCAGGAATTCTGGCTCTCCCAATACCAACAGATGACAGTGAACCTGTCCCTGCCTTCATTTTTCATCTGTAAAATGGAGGAAAATGGTGCTCTCTACTTTAACAGGCTGTTATGATAAGTAAATGTGTTAACATTTGTAAAATACTAGTCCATATAATTTACTATGTCATTTTTAAATAAGTAAACCATAAATTGCTTTTTCCATATCTCTAAGCTGAAATTCTCCTGGGAATAAAATACTTGTGCAAAGAGATTTTTTTTTTTTTGCGAAAATAGAAGAAACCACCACGCAATATAAAATTTTTTACCTTTTAAACAGAAAACTAAGAATGGATTTTTTGGTTGTCTAGTTTAATTGTTGGGTAATTTTATAATTCTAGTTTTAGTAACTTCAACTACAAAATGTGAATAAAACTAAAGATGTAATTTCTTGATTATTAGAAAAGATTATGAATGACTGGGTTAAAGTAAAGATTTGTCTTTATTTTTTTTCAGTCATCATCAATATAATCCTGAGAAAAAGAACAGGGAATTTAGATTTTTTAAATGAGTAGGAAATGACAGGTGACGTAAACTTTATACACTATAAGTAGCTTGGCAATAATTGAGAATTTGTATAGATACTATCGCTGTTATCTTTATCTTTCTGGGATCCTTAGTTGGAAACACTGTTTTCTTGAGATAATCAGTAGCCCAGAATTATAACAGCTATTCTTTAAAAGTTAAAAATATGGTTTTATTTTTCTGAATATAGTTGAATATCTGCTCATTGTAGAAAAATTATAAAGTACAGAAAGCATACAGATATTGTTATTAAGCCTTTTCACCTTTTGTCCAAGGGACAAACTTCAGCAGATCTTTCCTTTTTTCTTCAACATCCTTAGAAACTTATTTATTCTATGTGTTTACAGGATGGTAATTAAACATAAAGTGTTATAGTAAATTATTCTTTGTTGTAATAGGCAATGTTCTAAATCCTTTACATATGTAAATAAACGGAACTTAGCCTTTTCACTGTCCCCATAAAGTAAGTCACCAGTTATTTTTCTCCATAATTTTCCCCCACAAGGGACAGAGAATTTAAATAATTTTCCCAGTCCTCAAGTGAGTAAAATTCAGAACTTTAGATGTACAGTGTGCAGCTTTAATCACTACACAATATAAAGCAATGTGTCTCCTGAGACAATTGGTGGGTAACCTCAGGAGAACAGTTTGGTTTGGTCTGGTTTAACTATGATTGTTATGTTCATGGTTGAATAGTTCAACGTTATCTTTCCCACAACGAAAAGATAGCAAACTGCTCAGAAGACTTCCAGTGCTGTATTTCACAAATGGCAAGCTTTTTCTTTTGTGGCATAAATGGGATGTATTTAAATTTAATAAAGTCTATATCTATTTCATCTGTCTGTTTTTTCCAAATCAGTGGTCTTCACCTCCAAAATCTGAGAGCTTCCCAGAAGGGGCACTGAGCATTTTAGTCTGGTTTATTTGCTGAGAAAAAGATCCTAGTTTCCTGCTGACCCAGATTGAGTCATGTTTTAATGACTGAACTGTTTTGCCTTTGGCATGAACAGGAGGCTACGTAGAACTTCACTCTCTTTAAAACTTAAGAAAACAGAGGATGTTTGTTCTAATGCCAGATCCAACCCAAATTGTTGGCATCAGCAAATACTCGGGGTGAATGAATAGAGCATAAGAAAATTTACATTAGTAGACCCCTAAAATGAAATATTTCAAGAAGCAGCCTCATATGTGTAGAAGCATCTATAATTTTATACCTAAGTGTAAAATTGTTTAGTTTTATAATATCAGTTGCTTACAAAATGAAGCACAAAAAATAGTTTTTTCAACCTAATATGTTGTCATCATTCAATCTGTGACAACCCATATTTATCTTTCAAAAAATTTAAACAGTGATGGTGTTATGAATCTTACTAAATTGATTGCATTCTTTCTTATTTTACCAAGTGTCTTCCCTAACTAATTACTCATTTTATGAGCTGAATGACAGATTTGTATATATGCCTGAATTTTAGATTAATGAAACTTCCAATTTTAAAAGATAGAGCCACCCCTAAAGTAAAAGCATTGGTTGCTAAGTCCCATTTTGAGCTATGGTATTTACTTCATTTTGCAGATTTGATTGACATTATCTAATCTGTCTTTAAAATCTGACATTGCTGCTGCATCTTGACATGATGGAGTCACAGAAATGGGTAGTACAGTGCTGTTTTCTTGGTGCTGGCCTCTGGAAATTGAGACATCACAACTGCCAAGCCTGCTTTACTGCAATTACTGCTTCTAACTGAATGACTCTGGCTTCAAGGGGAGAAGAATGGAGATGTCTAAATGTGACATTAAATCCCCGGATGCATACACCTGTTCAGCCAAGAGTCAATGTCATCCTCCTGGTCCCATCTCTAGTGTATATTCATTTGTGCCTTGCTTGGGCTCCTTCCTCCACCCTACAGAATCTGGATCTCCTTTTGGAACCACCCCTTCTTCTTCCCAATCTGGGTGGTTCAGATAGGGTGACCCTACTCCAAAGCTCCAGGGGTGGGCTGGTGACCCCAAGTAGTGTTACTCAGTCCTTGCAATTCTGGTCCAACACCCAGGCTCTCTGACAGATCCTGAGGTGGGCAAGTGACCTCAGCGTGGTCAAGTAAGAAAAAAATTTCCTCAGAGTCCTTTTTTTCAGGAAATGGTGGGAAAAAAGTCTTGCTTCCCGTAGGGCCATATCTGATAAGACAGAAACTTGGACCTTTGTCAATGTTTGACTAAAATGAAGCCAGAATGGAGAAAAGGATGCATATCTGGACTGAAGCTTATTATTGAAAAGCATTTTTGAACTGTAGCATTCAAATTAATTTCATCTACTTGCCACTCTTCCTGACTCATAGGGCAAATGATTCCTTTTTTTTCAGTAAGCCAATTTGAGTTGCATCTCTGCAGTTTACTCCCCATACTGCTAGAGTTATCTTTCGAACCAGAAGAATTTCAGCTCTGATTCCTGTCCTTGCCCATTTGTTTCAGCATTTCCCCTGATCATTTTCTCAGCATTTATAAGATGGCAGTGAAGTTTTGTGGAGGTGGGGGGGGGGTGTAAAGTCGGACTCGGCTACCCTCTACTTCTCAATGCCTCAAGGGACATGAGGCCCAAATAGAAGATTTTACAAAACCTGGCAATTAGGGTGGTAAATCATTCCCGAGGTATTTGGAGTGAGTCAGGGAATACACCTAAATCAACTTTTTCAGGTGGGTCTATGAGAGATGTCAGAGAAGTTTTCCTGAAGCAGGTGATCACTCCTGTGAATTTTAAGGATGAGAAGTGTTGGGGTAAAGAGGGAATGCTGAGGGGAGGAAAACACTCTAGGAGAGGGCCAAATGAGTAAGGACATGGCAGTTGGAAAGAGCAGGGTCAGTACTTGGAGCAGCAAGCCGCCCATGCAGCTAAAGCTCACTCTGTGAGCAGGGAGAAGGC